CAGCACACTGGCACGACAAGGGCGCAGACTGGCGCGGACTGGCACACACACAGGCTCACCACCGGAGCCGCCTAAGCGACTCCGTTAAGAACGGCAATGCACTCCGCACCATGCACAATGCCGCTCTCCCCGCACGCTAGCTCGTTCACCGTCTGCCACGCCACGGCGGTGTGGAGGACGACAGACAAGCGCTGCATCTGCAGCCCGTGCCAGTTCTTGGTGGTCCATGTGACCTCGTCCAGGTGCTGAGCGTGCGAAAGTTTGTTGCTCAGCTGGTTCGCCGCCTCCCTCAGGGTGCTGCGAACCTCCTTTCCAAAGCCTCCGAAAGCCTCAAAATCAAACAAACGTAGATCGCAATCCTGCTGCCGCGCAAAGGGGTAATCGCCAGGCTGCTCCTTGAGCTTTCCCTTGGGGGCGTCCTCCTCCTCCCCCTCCTCCCCCTCCTCCTCGGCCTCCTCCTCCTCCCCCGCCACCGCCGCTGCCGTCGCTTCCGACGGAGACCACTTGCCGCGCCCTTTGACCAACTTGAGCAGCCCGGTCTCCGTGTTGCCAAAGCGCACATAGGCCCCCTTCCAGCCGAGCCGAATTTCACCCTCTCCATCCTTGCCCTTGCTGTTGCTCGCGAGCGAACTCGTAAGCTTCAGATCGGCAACAAGGCGCCTGTGCCCCCTGCCGATGTTTGCCGCCGCCACGTCAGGTTGTTTTGGATTACTGTAACTGAGGTGTGCAGTCGGCTCCATCTCGATGATCATGCCCCACGCCGAGCGGAGGCATTTGACCAAACGTTTGAGTAGAAATTTGTGTCTTGTAGCATGCTTTGACCGAGGGTTAACCATCGCGGCGTCGCCAAGGGCGTCGTGTAGCTGGCCGCTGGGTGCCCTCTTGCCTGCCTCCACCGCCTGGCAGGCGACATCAAGGGGGAGCCCAAGGCGGCGCTGGACGGTGACGCGCATCGCCCAGGACTCCATCTTCATATCATCACGCATGGGGATGGCGTTGAGGAAGGCGCCGGCCCCTGGTTGGCTGACGGCGACAAAACGGAAAAAGAACCAGCTCATCGGGCTTCTGGAAAAAGAACTCTGTGCCCCGGCTCATCGGGCTTCTGGAAAAAGAACCAGCTCATCGGGCTTCTGGAAAAAGAACTCTGTGCCCCGGCTCATCGGGCTTCTGGAAAAAGAACCAGCTCATCGGGCTTCTGGAAAAAGAACTCTGTCCCCCGGCTCATCGGGCTTCTGGAAAAAGAACTCTATGGGTATTTTGCGGGTATACCTGGAAAACCCCGGTATACCTGGAAAATGCGAAAAGCGCGCGAAACGTTCGCGCGCCCGCTCTCTGCTCGCTCTCACCGCCACCAGCGAGCGCCGGACCGCAGCCCGGCCCACGCGGCCGGGCACCACCGTGATGGCGGCCTCGCGGCCGACCATCGCTCCCGACGAGGACCATCACTCCCGACGAGGACCATCGCTCCCGACGAGGACCATCGCTCCCGACGAGGATATCGCGGCCCTCCTCGAGCGGGCGCAAGTTTCTGCGCCAGCGAACGGCGAGCGAGCGAGCGGCTAGGCGACGGGAGGGTGAGGCGACTCGGAGGGGCAAAGGGGTGGCGGGTTGGATCACGAGGAGGTAGAAAGTCGGGCGCGAGCGGGCGAGGGAGCGGCGAGGCGGCGGGAGGGTGACGGGGCGAGGGGGGGTGGCGGGTTGGATCACGAGGAGGTAGAAAGTCGGGCGCGGGCGGGCGAGGGAGCGGCGAGGTGGCGGGAGGGTGGCCAAGCCAAGGGGGGTTGGCGGGTTTGCATCCCGAGGAGGTAGACGGCCGGCCCGCCAGCGGGCCAAGTAACCCCCAAGCCCGCGGGAAGGTTGAAGAGGCCAGGGGGGTTGGCCGGTTTGGATCCCCGAGGAGGTAAAAAAGTCCGGCCCCCAGCCTGGCGGGGGTAACCCGCCAAAACCGGTGGCCGGGCCAGGC